ATAATGAGGGGTTTGAATAGATGGTTTTCTGAATTCTCTCCCAGTTTTAAGGGTGAGTGCATTTAGATTTCCTTGAACTAATTGTCCTATAAAGTGACAATGGGTAGAGAAGATTAATGAAAATAATTCTGATGCAGCGTCTCTGACCCGTCCTCTGTCCCACAGCGAGTCAGCGACATGCACCACAGGCTCACGGGCCAGTGAGGGGGTGGGGCACGCAAACACGACGCCGATGGTGGGGGGCAGGCTGTTCAGCAGACCGGGTGTTCCAAGAGCATGGAGGCCGGGATGGGACAGGGGCCGAGCCCAGCGGGGCTGCCCTTCACTCGGCCCACGGTTACTGCAGACAGGTGGCAGCCCACATCCGAGGCTGCTTTCTCCATCTCGTCCCCACGGCCTAGCCCGACTGAGCACCAAAGATGGCCGGTGATACCAAGAGCATCTTGTGGTGCTTTCTGATGGCATCAGGGAGGTGACAGGTGCAGACCATGTTCTCCCAGGTGTGGCTGGCGGGACCCTCCAGAAAGGCACTCTGTGACTCCACATAACCCATTTTCCCATCATCACATGGACACAGATTTGGTTACCAGTGACCCATGGTTTCACGTGGGATTTCACAAATTCTTCTCCAGGGCAGTTTGCACCTTCTTGTAAATTATCCGAGAAATAGTGTGAACATGGGACAGGGGTGTGTGGTTCCTGCCACCATTGGCTGTAGACACAGTATAAAAATGGTAATGTGGAATTAAGGATTTTGCTAACCCTCTGCCATACCCTGAAATAATGAGGTAGTGCCAGAACCCTATGAATTCTGCACAGAAGTCTCACTGCATTCCCAAACTCAGACCCATTCTGAATCTCCATGTCATCAGAGCCTCTCAAGAACACGAGTTTACCCAAAACCAGTCATTGTGAAGTAGGAAGTGTCCGCGAATGAGCCAGATGTTGGCAAGGATGTGGAGAAAGGGGAACCCTCTACACTCTTGGTGCAGTGGTGGGTCTCTACTTCTGGCCGGCAGACCTCATGAAGGCGGCCTCACACCCAGTGTCCTCCAGGCCATTCTCGTCACTGGTGGCATCTCTGAGAGCTTCCCAAAGCCACCAGGGTCCCAGCCCTCCAGGACCCTACATGAACTCACTGGTAACACAAGGAACTCCCGTTAGGAAACAGTCAAGGAACCCGGATCTCCTCTAGATTCACCCCAATCAGTCTGATAGGGAGAGAGAAGCCCCACATAAGAGGGTGCCTTTTTGGTTGCGTGAATACCACAGAGTAACTCTGAGGATCCCGAGATCTTAGTGGACCGCATGTCGCTATACTTCCGTCCCCAAAAGACAGTTGATGCCTATTTGTGGAGAAGAGAAATAAGCATCATTTGCTGTGAACTTCAGAGCACGAGGAGCTCTGCACAGTGTCATTTTCTGTAGCTGGCTGGATCTGAAATGCGAGCTTTTTATTGAGAACGTAGTATGTCAAACATTGGAGAAACAAGTAGCTGAAACGTAGCCCTTAGAGCTCGCAGGTTAAAGCCGGTAACAGGTCTTCTCCTCCCATGCTGCGCGTTTCTAGCGGAAGGAGAGCCCTGGGGACAAAGGAAGCTGGCAGGTCTGAGCTGGGCTTGGCAGTAAGTGAAGGCAGCTCGTAAACAAGAGGAACAATTTAGTTTTAGGCACAGAGAATGAAGAATCATGAGAAGGTCTGGTGTGTTCGTGTGAAAAGTGTTGTAAAGGGTCAGATTTATCACTTCACCATATTTTTATAAATTATTCTACATTACTAGGAGTTCTGCATGTAACCCAGCCAAACAGCTACGTTCTGTTCTGCTTATAAAAGTTACGTTCGTTTGCGTGTAGGCATTGCCCAAGGGACATACATGGTCTATAGGTTGTTCTGAAATGTTAACACTTAAAATGAATGGATCTTTATATTGACTGTGTTGCCTACATATCAGATCTAATTACTAACACACGTTACTGTTTTTCAAAAGAAATGTTGAACGATGTCTGGGTCTGTATTGACTGAAATTTTCAAGCTAAGTTGCATCAGGATGTTATCCTTAGGACACAAATAGGGGAAATACTCTCTAAGCCCCGTGGCGATGCGGGATGTCATGGGACCGCAGAAAGGCGGGGTGGCTGCTTGTAATCCTGGGAGCCGACTTGGCATGCTCGGTGTCTGGTTACCAGTCGGCCCATTTGGAAGCTGCTGTGAAGCCCATCCTAACTGCAGAGAATGGGTTCACACAAGGAAAATCAGAGCTCGGGTGCCCCAAACAACTATGCAGATGTGTGTTCAGAGGCCGCCGGGGCTGCAGGTCTGGTGGACATGGAGGGACTGTGCACCGTGTGTGAGGCCGCCTCCACCACACAGGTCGGGGCCACATCAGGAGAGGGTTGGCGTGTCCACCCTGGCCATCCGCACCCTCCCTGTTCCTTGCTTCACGTCTTTCCTGGAGGTGAGAGGCGATCCGGCGTCCCCAGATCTCCAGCTCAGGGGGTCTGGGACACGGACGCACCTGCCCAGCACACAGCCTGCCCGCTTGGCCCACGACTTCCCCCCTGGTCCCTGGTCTGTGTCTTGTTCTTGGAGGACGTGTTTACTCCACGCAAACCTTCTGTAGCTCAGTATTTATTGAATAACTTCTGTGTCTCTTCCTTACTTACACTGTTTTAATTACTTTCCTGATTGCCCATTCTTTAACTTTTTTTATTTATTGCCCATAATTTAACTTTAATGAGTTGTGTCATGGTTTTAACATTATATTTAAGGGACTTGGGATTTTATTGCCATATATTAAGCCATTTATTTTATTAATTCAAAACTTTCACCATTTTATTGGTCATTTTATTGAAAGTTATCACAGAGAATTATTCTAAATATGAATTGTTTCGAGAAGTCCATATCCAAGTGTTTTTGTGGGCGAGGCACCACCTAATTATCCTTCCACCAAGTGCCTGTTTCTCAGTTTTCAAGACTAAAGTTTCATTTTCCAAAGACAGAGAACTCAAGCCTATTCAGAACTAACTAGAGAACTGGGAGATGATTGCAGTATCAAAACCTGTTTCAGAAGAGAAGGCAGGAAGTAATGAGGCTGAAGATTATTATGTCGTGTATGTTGACCGCGTATTCGTTATGTTCCTGTGAAGTAGATATTTAGTGTGGCAGCAGATCAGAACATCTTATCAGAACAAAGTGATCTGATTGTTGTCAGGCAGACAGACTTGCAGTCATGAGGAATTTATTATCTAGATTGTAGTGTTTTGTTTTTGTTTTTGAGAGGAAGAATGAGAGACAAAGACAGAAAGGGAGAGGGAGCGGAGAGGCTCTCAAGCAGACTCCCCGCTCAGCACGGAGCCCAACATGGAGCTCGATCCCACGAGATCATGACCTGAGCTGAAACCAAGAGTCTGACACTATCTGACTGAGCCACCCAGGCGCCCCCAGATTGTAGGGTTTGAAGCCTGGCGCCCTTTCTATGACATGAAGGTCCCGTGCATCTTTGGATGTTATCTGGGATTAAAATGATAGCTTGGAACTGAAGCGAAGCCCAGGCAGACCTCTTCCCTGTGGCCAGCTGTCGCGGCTGCTTCCCCTTCTTGCTCTCTTTGGAAATTTCTGCTCTAGATATCCAGAACCAATTAAAAAAAAGAGTGAGCAAATCCATTTTTTAAAGTTACAGGGAACTCCTAAAGTCCCCTCTGCCCAATATGCAGGCTGGGCTGCGGACGTGCCCCTGCCTGGCTCTCCCGTGTCCCTGTCCCCTCAGTCTCTGGGTGGGGAGGGCAGTCCCGAGAGCCAGGCAACCACATCCTGATGAAACCTGCACCCCATTTTCACTTTGCCGAATGTGTGCAGTTGGCACTGGTCACTGGCCAATACTGTCCTGAATTTGAGGCAAACAACAGACTACGGAAGTAATACGAGGGGTGCCTGGGCAGCTCAGTCGGTGAAGCATCAGCCTTTGGCTCGGGTCATGATCTCAGGGTCCTGGGATCGAGTCCCGCATCGGGCTCCCTGCTCAGTGGGGAGTCTGCTTCTCCCTCTCCCGCTCTCTCTCAAATAAAAAATCTTTAAAAACAAAAGAAAGTAATTTGAAGCACCTCATCTCTTCATATTTTAACAGGCCTGCCACGTGTATGGTTTAGATCAACACTAACTGTAAGCTTACTACTTTGTATTTAGCATCTAGAGGACCCTGAGAGCCGAAGGGTAATTATCACATGCATTTGTAGTCTTAGCTTTGCATCTAGAATAAAACTCACATTTCCTTTAAAATACTTAGCTTTTTTTTAATTCAGCATGGTACAGCTGTGATAATTGAAACAAGACTATGGCTATTTTTGGTATCTATTTCTACTATAGCAGTTCATCAGAATGTAGGTGCCAAATAGTAGCTGAGAGAACTTTGACAAATTGTGATTATTTTTAAAATTAGCGTGTCTGAAAGGTATGTTTTGGGGGTGGCAGCTTTTCAAAATTAGTGTGCTTCTCAGATTATAAATAGACCACTGGCTCCCTAATATAAATGTTCCCATAGCTCTCATTGTGCATGAGGGTTTGAAGAAGGCGAGATTGCAGGTGTGTAGTGGGCCAGTGAAGGCGGAACGTTCTGGAGTCAGTGGAGGAGTGCATGTTTGGACAAAGTCCCTTCGAGGAGCGGCAACCCAGCTTCTCTTGTGAGATGCAAGGTCAGGGTAGCAGAAGTCACAGAAAATTAGCATTTAAGGTACTTTTCATTGTAGAAGCGCCTTGTTTTCAAAGGGCAGGAAGCTTACAGAATGAAGACAGAGACAGCTGCAGATCTGAGTCCTTTCGGCTGGTCCTTCCCCCCACCTTCCGGGGCTAAGCCCCGCGTCCGCACTGCGGCCCCAGACTGAGCCCCAGGGACCCCGCACGTGCCAGGCTGTCAGGGAGGGGCTGCTCTTCCCGGCGTGGAGGCTGGAACCTGTCGGCCACCCTGGGGGGAGGTGGGGAGGGCTCGCGCACAGCTCGCACAAATATGGCCTGCGCCCCTGCGGGGCTGGTGCTAGACCCCCGGGATCGCACTCGGGCGGGTGGCCCCGCACTGGACCGGGATCGTGCCTGCGCAGAAGGTGCCGCGAACCAGGCGGCAGGCCCGCAGAGCCTCGGCTCCACGCCGCCCTCCCGGCACGCTGACGGCGCAGCCCCGATAACTCCGTTCTCAACAGGGCTCGGCGTTCACCCGCCTCGGCGTCCAGTGTGGACTGTAGACGGCGCCACGCACTGGCGGTGGCCCTCCAGGTGCGAGCCCTTCCCGTTGGCGGGGCTTGGGGACAGCCGTGGAGGCGGCACCACGTCTGCGCCCGGGAGGCGGAGCGGTGGCGTTGCACTGGAGCCCAGGTGCCGGGGCTGGAGGAGCGCGGGTGCAGATGGGGGGCCGCGCCGCACACAGGCTGTGGCAGCAAGTGGGGTCCGTGCGCCCCAGAACAAGCGGGCCGAGCGTGCGCGGTGCTCCCTGCGTGAGGGCGGCTGCGCGCGGTGTTACACGCTCCCAGGCAGACCCGGCGTGCCTGAAGTTACGGTGGACTTGTCGGTCAGGCCGCGGTAAACCGGGAACTTGCCATCGGCACACGGGTTTCCTTTCTCTCCGCCTGCCTTCCACCTCCGCGTGTCCGTCCCTCCAGCCCACCCAGCAGGTGCTCACAGGCTCACAGGGGAGACAGCCCGCCCTTGTGGGGTTGCTGCCCAGGGACAGTGTGAGGGTCCTGAGACAGAGACGCCAAGACGGACAGAGATGGAGAGAGACAGAGACAGAGACAGAGAGAGGGACATAGAGACGCAGAGACAGAGATGGAGAGAGACAGAGACACAGAGGCGGAGAGAGACAGAGACAGAGAGGGACATAGAGACACAGACGGAGAGAAGGAGAGAGACAGAGGTGGAAAGAAATAGAGACAGAGAGATGGAGAGAGACAGAGACAGAGTGAGACACAGAGAGAGGGACAGAGAGACATAGAGACAGACACAGAGACAGAGAGACATAGAGAGGCTGAGAGAGACAAAGACAGACAGAGAGACTGAGAGAGACACAGACTGAGACAGAGACACAGAGACAGACTGAGAGACAGACGGGGACATAGACACAGAAATAGAGACAGAGGCAGCCCCTTAACTGATGCAGCAACAGCCTCAGAGCCTTCACTGTTGTCCCGTGTTCAACGCTGGGGCTTCAGGGTGAGCACGTCACAGCCCCTGACGCTGCACTCTCGTTGGAGGCCTGCCGGGCGCGTCCACAGCCAACCCATTGCTGCTGACCACGAGCCCAAGCTCCATCTTCATTTCAAAATGTGACCTCGTGCTGGTTCACACGGGCAAGGCGCCACGAGTTATGACTTATTCTCACATCCGAGTAACTCTTAGAGGGCACCAAAGTAAAATTTTAAAAAATAGGAATTAATGTGTTTTCCCCAAGGCTGCAGGCCTGAAATTTTACTTCCAATAAAATTGCAACAGCTCTTACATCCCTGAAATCTCACCATTTGTGACGATTGTAGCAACAGTGAATGTGCGTGTATCCGTCTCTGGGCAGGCCTCTCTGGAAGAGCGCGTCCACCGCTCATTTAGTTAAGGGCAAGTCCCAGGTTCCTCAATCACGTAGTTACTTGAGATAAAGTTGAGAATCACTGAAGTAAATATTTTAAATTCCTTTTCTACTGAATCTGCAAGATTCCAGTGGAAAACTTAACCTAATATGTTTGTTATGGTTCCATTGTACAGAAAATGGTTGTATTTGAATTTTTGTTTTTGTAGATGAGGATCTTCATGATCAACCAAAGAGAAGAAGAGCAAGAAAGCATAAATCCAAGAAAAGTTTTAAAAATCCCAATAATGATCATGCAGAACAAGCAGAATTAAAGAAACAGCAGAGTCTTTCACAAGAAAAACTGCAGCTACGGCCCACAGATGGCCCCACAATCAGTAAAAATAAAAAGAGGAAACTGAAGAAGAAGCAGCAGATGAAGAGGAAGAAAGCTGCCGGCTTACTGACCACAGCCTCTGGCCGCAACTTCATGTACCAGCCCGAGGAGGGCGACAGTGAGCAAGAAGCCCTGAGAGAGAGTGATGGGGAGGATGCCGCGGACCACGGGGAGGATGCTGCGGACCACGGGGAGGATGCTGCGGACCACGGGGAGGACGGTGCAGACGCCAATGAGGAAGACATTAAAAGTACCAATGAAAAGGCAGATGATATCCTAAGCTTTCTGAAGTCAACACAAGAAATTTATTTTTATGATGGTATGTTTTTTACCATTCTTTTGAATAATGGCATCCACTTATTTGGAAAAGTAAGCAAAAATAATAAAACATTTAAATGTTTAAAATATAAAACACTAAAATATTCAGTAGTCAAAATAAGTCACTAGTTTTGAGGCAAAGATGAGAATATTTAAACTCTGTCCAGCAGGATGCAGAGTGGCTTCTGCTCGAGGATGTGGCTCCTCACGTGGCTGGTCTTTGCATCCTTACTCCTTTAAACCCGATTTCAGAGGCTGTTGGTATTCTCAGCTCCATTTCCATGGGGAAGGTCAGTCCAGATTGCAGGTCTGATGAACTCAGGCTTGTTTTCATGAGCTAATCGGGAAGTAAAAGTGTAAGCACAACCATCCCCTCTAAGACATACTGTATTTTACTTCCCACACGTAACTTGCGGATTTAAGATTCTCAGTGAGCATCTTTGAGCAACTCTCTATACTGACACAGGAGATGAAAAAGGGAAGCATATTTATTCTAACGGATGGTAATTGCTTACGTTTGTGTTGAGGTTTACTGACGGCTGACCTCAGGATCAGGAAGGAGCAGGTGCTGGGTTGAGCCACCATGTTCACACCAAGGACAAAGGCGCTCGGGATGAACCAGTGCCCATTCTGACAACATTCCTAGTGGATTCTGGGGCTGGGGTGGGTTTAGTGCATCCCGACGTGAGCAAGAATTTGACCTTATGAGTAAGACTGAGAAACATTGGCTCTGTGATAATTTGGGCGGTAAGGAAGTGATTTACACAAGGGTGTGAAAATGCCATTGTTAATAGATCAGTTTAACCCTTTCCCCTTTAGCACGTCTATCAGCACTTTGTCTTAACAGAGTGAAAACAAACTTAATAGCCAAATGAGGCTAGTAGGAACACATAGCTAATACGCGGCAGAGCAGAAGGAGCCTCAGAAAGACCTCAGTACAGGATCCATCGCATGTGAGTCTAGGAGGTTCTGCGGAAAAGCGCCCAAGAGGGCAGACCCCAGGGGAGGTGACACCACGTGAGGGCTGAGCCATAATTCCACGGCCTCCTTTCCCCGGGGGCATCTGCCAGCCATGCATGTGGGCGCTGGAGCAGGGTGCAGGGGAGGGCCGGCCAAGCCCTGGGAAGCTCACCCACCAGTGCAGCTTCGGCCGCAGTACAGGCCTGTGGGTCTCTCAGAACCTTTGCCAGATGCCAACCTGTGGGGTGCAAGGTAGGGAGAAGCAAGGAGCTTCAACAACATGGTGGACCTCTCAGCAGTTTTGGGGTGCTGACAAGGTTGACATCCCAGAGGGCCACACACTTGGAGCAGGGATGGGTGGAGGCGGCTGAGCCCACCCTGTGTCAGCTCAGTCCCTGCAGGGGCGGGTTGGCCCAGACCACCGCCAGTTTCCATACTCACGCACTCCAACTTAGCAGGCAAAACCACGAGAAGAATGTACAATGGAGACACTGATGTTATCAGAAGGTGTTGAAAGAGGTATGATTAAGGTGCTCAAAAAAATAGGGAGAAAAAGGTGAAAAATTTGAGAATTTCACCAGATAGCCTCAATCCATTAAGACAGTCAAATGGAAATTTTGAGAAATATAATAACTGAAATTAAGAACTCAATGCTGAGTCTAAGCCGCAGGTCAGGTTCAGCGTGAGAGAGATCAGTGGCCGGGAAACAGGCAGGATAGAACCTGCAGACGGGGGCTCGCGGGCGCCGGGGGGACGGGAACGGGTCTGACATGCGTGCACATGGGGTCCAGGATGGGGCGCTGGGGCCCGTGTGCAGAGGTAATAGTTGCGAGTTCTTCAAAATCGGGAAAGGCCATCAAGTCATAGACTCAAAATGCTGTATGAACTCCAAGCGGGATTAATGCAGAGAACAGCACAGCCAAAGCACTTGCCGTTGAGTAGGAATGGGGCCGGGGCACCTGAGGCCGGTCTGCGGAGCTGGGCCGTGTCCATGGCCCTGCCACAACCTGTGACTCCTAGTGGCGTTTCTGGAAGGCATTGCAGGAGATGGAGGCCCAGACAGAGGCAGGCCTCCAGCGGCTTCAGCAAGTCCTAGTTCGTTGCTGACGGTTCACATTCTGCTCCAGTGGCCTCTCCTGGTGGCTTCCTCTATCCCAAACAGCTCATTCTGAGTAGAGACTCGTTAGATTGGAAGCTTACCTTAAGCTGACAGAAAGAAACATAAACATGTGTTTCTCTGGGACCCCGGCTTTGCTTAGGTGCCTCCAAGGATGCAGACTCTGCTGTGTCTGTGGAAGCCAGTCAGGAGCTGTTCCAGCACCTCGAGGCTCACAGCATGTCCCCCTCCGATGTGCGCCTTGTGCATCACATGAAAACGCTGTTACTTGTGCGAGACACCGAGAGCCTGCAGCACGCCCTGGAGAGGTTCCCAGCATGTTGCACCATGCCGCCCGGTACGTACTGGGCCCCTGGGGTTTGCCTCCGAGGTCGGGGGGCAGAACATCAGGGACGCGCGTGTGCTTGTGGACACGGGAATGTGCTTGCTGTAAGCAGGACTCACGTGACAGGCGCAGAAGGACCTGTGCCACCCGATCTTCCAGACGCTGAGCTGTCTGGGCCAGATGTCATCAGTTTAAATGTTACCCGTTCCGCTCTTCCTTCTCTGCTCTACTGGTAGGAGGTTGACTTTTTCTGCCTGCTAAATATCTTGGGGAGACGTGAATTACAAGATGACTTTCCTCTTGTGTACCAACCTTTCTTGGGTGCTGATTCCACACACACTGTCAGGTGCTGGGGCCAACCATGCTCCAGTCCTCCCAGCACCAGGGTGCTGACTTCATGTCAGTAGCTTGAAATGGGCTTTGGGGGGAATATCAGGCCACGGGAGTGTGCAGACACCAAGTATCAGAAAATCAGGGCTTTTCCTAGAGAACCACTGCAGAGCCCCATGCCTGACCCCCACCAGGCCTGTGGCACCTTTTCGGCTGAATGAATGGAGGGGTTCTGCAGACTTCTCCGAGGGAATGTAAAGTGACCGTAATAACTGTGTCCACCCAGAAACCGCATGGTGCAGCTGAAAGGTCAAGACGAACATGGTATCAAATCAGGTGAAAGGACAGTAAGGCCACCCAGTGTGGTGCTGGGGTGATGAGCAGGGGAGTGCCAGGGACGTCAACACTCCATTCTCCAGCTGGGGAGGCCAGTCACTGAGCTGGAGTCCCAGGGGTCCCAGAAGTCCTGAATTAGCGTGTTTGTTGAGCCTCACTGGGCGTCTGCCTGAGCCGCCTTCTGTCCTCAGCTGCTGGATTCTCGGAGAACGGGGCAGACAAAGCCCTGCCCTTGGGTGCTCGTGTGCCGGTGGGGCGACTGGAGATCTAGCTGACCCCCGCCATGTGCACGCTGGACAGGAGCCTTGTGTCCCGGTGGGGAGACGGGTCATGAGGTCAGGAGCTGACCCCCGCTGTGTGCACGCTAGATCGGAGTCTGCGGAGAAGGAAAACCCACAGGGAGGGGATATTCTTGCAGCCAGGAGCAAATGCACTGGGATGGAGTGTGGTGGGTGTCGCATGGTGGGAGCGGATCGTGGGCACGCACAGGTGGATGGAGGGCGACCTGGCAGTGGTGTCGGCCCAAGTGTGGAGTCGTGCCATGGCTATGGGCTTCTGCTCCCAGACACAAGCAAGACCCCCAGCTGTCAAGTTCAGACCAGAGTGAAGGGTCAGGAGCAGAAGGCCGGGGCCTTTGCTTATGGTGAGAGAGGTGGTCCGGAGGTGTGGGAGGTTCAGGGAGGCTGTGCAGGTGGAAGCCACAGGATGGCCAGCTGAGCAGGCATGGGGCCTGAGCCTCTGGAAGAGCCCAGCAGCCGGTTCTGAGCTGTGATGCTCGGAGGGGCAGTCCAGGGAGAGGGACCCCAGTCCCCCAGGGTGGGACTGAGGATGGGGACCACAGCACTTGGGAACCGCAGAGGGTCCCTCCCCGCCGCTCGGTCATTACCATTCCTGACGCTCGGCCCTTTCCTGGCCGCGCCTTAGTCGGTCTCTTCACGGGTCCATGTTTACGGAGCTATAGGACCAAGCTGGTGCCCAGGAAAGGGGCTCACCTCGCTGACCGCTTACGGTTCCCGAACACAGGCGCCGACGGTACCGGCAGTTACGCTGCTGTCTACTGCATGTTGTCACGCGACCCTCTTTGACGCCTGCTGAGGGAGCGCGGGGTCAGGCCGCTGGCCGGGGCAGCAGGGCGCGTCCGGACCGGCCTTAGCCCTGGGCCTCTGTTCCGAGCGGGCAGTGGGGTGGGCCTCCCAGCGGAGCCGGCTGCATCTGACCCGGCTGCAGGGCGTGCTGGCAGCCGGCAGTTCCCGAGGGCAGCCGGGTCTCCGACTCGGCCCCGAGGCCGCTGTGACGGGTGTCCGAGCGGTTAGGAGGCCCGGCGACTGGGGAGAGGCATCCGCACTGGAAGCTGCACAGGCCCCGGAGGCGGACGAGGGGCGGGTGGAGCCAAGGCCTGCTGCAGGCACCACGGTGCGCTAGGGCTTCTCCTCCGTGTGCCTGCCCGCGGCCCCGGCGCCCCCGCGGAGGGAGGGGTTCCGCCGCGGACCCCGAGCGCTCCGTCCCCAGTGCGCACACCTGTGCCTGCGCTGGGTTTCAGTGTGCCCTTCCCCTGAGCGCCGGTGGTCACGCAATTCCGTCACGGGTATTCTGAAGCTCTGACAGAGCCTGCAGACCGCGGGCTCTCACCCGAGGGAAGTACCGACACCGAGAATTTACGCGCGTGCTGCAGGCTCTAACTGCCGCGGCCACTCTCGCTCCTGCGCCAGAGCTGTGAGCCGACGGCTAATGGCTGTAAAAACATCTCTAGTTTTTGTCTGCGGGCTTTCCTGTTCTATTTTATTTTCTGTTTTATGTTGTGTGTTTGTTTTCCAGACCACGCCAGAGTGCTCTCAGCTTTCTTTAACTACTGGATCACACACATCCTTCTGGAGAAACACAGTGAATAAATCGGTGCATCTGAGAAGAGCCAACATTTAGCAAGAAAATATAAAAAGGCAAACATGCGATCGGCAGAGACGTGATTTGTACAAAGAAGATAGAATTGCCTAAATTTTCTTTGTAACCTGAATCCCAGGAACTTTGAAAATATCTCTGCCGTGTTATTTATTTGTGTGTTGTACACAATGGGCAACATGCAGTCTGAGACTTTGAGAAACTGGGATAAAATGGAACATTTTCAATTATCGGAAATTGCTTATGTCTCAGATTACTACACAGTGATCCTGTTTTTCTGATTCTTGTAAAAATTGAAAATGGACATTCTGTTAAGTTTAATAAACTGTATAGTTTGAAGTTGTTATATATTTTTGTAAAGTAATATAACCTTGTATTTGAAAGTCTCTGTTTTAAGAACACTTTATGGACATTAAATGTTCTGGTTTAGGTCATTTGATTCTAGTTGAATTTATTATTTTCTTCCTTGTTTCCTCTCCTCTGCTTTGAGAATATCAAGAACACCATTTTCCTGGTTTGATATTCTCTTTCTTCATGGTGATAGTCACCTGTTCTCAGGATTACTGGGTTTTAGAAACACCTGTCAGCTGACTCACACTTTAGGAGGTCATTGACTCTGTCCATGAAAATATATTTTTTTATTGTGGTAAAATATGCATAACATAAAATTCATCATTTTAGCCATTTTTAAGTGTACGATTCAGTGGCATTAAGTTATTCGCAGCGTCGGGCGACCATACCACTCTTCAGGCTAAACAGCATTCCGCTATATGGATAAGCCACGTTTTGTTTGCCCGCCATCTGTCGATGGACGTCTGGGCTATTGTGAGTAGTGCCGCCCTGGACACCGTGCACGGAATCCTGTGTGGACACCTGTGTTCCTGCCTCTTGGGGGGTAGGATTGCCGGGTCCAACAGTAACTCTGAGTGTGACTTCTCGAGGAAATGCTGGTCTGCTGTCCGTGGGGGCCGCACCACCCTGCATCCCGCCAGCCCTGCACAGAGGAGCCACGGACCCCACATCCACCCTGACGCTGTTATCTTCTGTGGTAGGCATCCTGATGGCGGCAAATGTCTCGTGTGCTTTCAGTTTACATTTCCCTGGTGTTGAATGATGGCGGCAAATGTCTCGTGTGCTTTCAGTTTACATTTCCCTGGTGTTGAATGCTTTTGAGCATCTTTTCACCTGTTCATGGGCCATTCTCTTTTTCAGGGAAATGCCTGTTGAAGTCATTGTCCATTAGGGAATTGGATTATCTGGTTTTTGTCATTGGATTATAAGAGTTCTTTATATACTCTGGATATTAATCCTTTATCAGAGAAGTGATTTTACAGTGTTTTCTCCCATTTTATGGCCTGCCTGCCTTGTCTCTATCTCACTACTGTTCTTTGATGCACAAATGGTTTACATTTTGATGGAGTCCAACTTATTGATGTTTTCCTTTGTTGCTAATGCATTTGGTGTCATATCCAGGAAATAATTGCCAAACCAGTATCATAAGATTTTTCCCTAATGTTTTCTCCCAAGAATTTCATAGTTCTTTATAACCCTTACATTTAGGTCTTTGATCCACTTTGAGTTAATTTTTATATACGGTGTAAGGTAAGATTCTAATTTCATTGTCTGTGTGTGGATATTCAGTTATCCCAGGATCGTATGTTGAAAAGACTGTCCTTTCCCCATTGACTGATCTTGGCACCCTTGTTGAGAATCATCTGACCGCATATGTGAGGATTTATTTTGGGGCTCTCTGTTCTATTCCATTTGTCTGTATGTCTGTCCTTATGCCAGGACCACACTATTTTCATTACTGTAGCTTCATAGAAGGTATGAGATCAGGAAGTATAAATCCTCCAGCTTTGTTCTTTTTCAAGATTGTTTTGGCTATTTGGGGCCCCTTGAGATTCCATGTGGATTTTAGGCTAGAGTTTTCTATCTCTGGAAAAAACACCTTTGATAATCATAGGGATTACATTGAACCTGGAGATCACTTTGGGTGGTGTGGTCATCTCAACACTATTATTAAGTCTTCCACTCCATGAACATGGGATGTCTTTCCATGTATTTATGACTCTTCCTAAATTCCCTTTACCAGTGTTTTGTAGAATTCAGTGTACTAGCCTTTCTCTCCATCATTAAGCTTAGTCCTAAGTATTTTATTCTTTCTGATGTGATTGTAAATGAAATTGTTTTCTTAATTGCCTTTTCAGATTGTTCATCATTAGTATAGAAATGCAACTGATTGGGGCGCCTGGGTGGCTCAGTCGGTGAAGCGTCTGCCTTCGGCTCAGGTCATAATCCCGGGATCTAGCATCCAGCCCCGCATCAGGCTCCCTGCTCAGCGGGGAGTCTGCTTCTCCCTCTGCCTCTGCTGCTCCCCCTGCTCTCTCTCTCTTTCTCTCTGTCAGATAAGTAAATCTTTAAAAAAGAAAAAAGAAATGCAACTGATTTTTGTATATTGGTTTTGTATCATGCAATGTTGCTGAATAACAGTGGTGTATGTGTGTATTCTTTATCCCTCCATGTCCTTAAGAGATGCCTGTTCCACTAAGTAGAACCTTCTGGAGGCAGATTGAGACAGCCAGGATTTGCTACCGGTTCTGGAGAGCCATCAGTTTGCAGCTAGGTGCTGTGAAGCACCCCAAGCTTCATAAAAGTCAGTAAGTGAAGCCACTGGCCAGACCTGGACACTAGCATAGACCCGCCACACCCCAGGGCTGTGACCAAGAGCATGAATGCTCTTGGCCGGAGTGGGCGCATGTCCTAAAGGAGCCATTTTGGGGAGGCCACACCTTGAGGTGGGAGAGGTGGGGCAGCATCACCGTTCACTCTCCTGACATCGTCTCGCTCCTCCCCGTGACCCCCCAGGGAGAAATGTCAGTGCATGAGGGTCCTACCCATCCACTGCCTCCCTCTCTCCCCTAATATAAGTCAGCATAGAATGTGGGTGAGGTCTGAGTCCCGGGAGTCATGTCCCTTCCCGCGGGAACGAGGGACCACTCAGCAGCGGGATGTCAACTACTGCTTGCCTTCAGGGACCGCCTGGCTGGTCTCAGGAAACCTGACTTTTCGCAGACCCAGATCGTGACCCTCCCCACAGTGCCTGTGAACTAATAAGCTGTGTCAGCCAATACAAAAATACTGACAAACTCATTAATTTTCCTGTTAATTCTCAGCGTCCAATTTGTGTCTCTTAATTATGATCAATTTACATTTTTTCTGTGCACAGCAAGTTAACACACTGTTGACGGAGAGGAAAACCCTGCAGTTGGCAGACAGACGGCCCTTCATTTGGTCTCTTTCCTCTCAGCACAGAATCCGGCCAACTCCCCTCCTCCCCCCTCCCCACCTCATGGGGTTTTGCCTTCTCTGTCTGTTTCCCCAGCCACACCCCAAAATACACAGGAACAGGATGTAATCCCACAGGCCAATGGGTTTTGTGTATCATTCTAATTCAGAGAAGAAAAAAATGCCTCTTCTAGAGAACAAAAGCAAATAAATCCTGTCTCTAATGTGTCGGCATAAATATGGTAATCTGTTTATCACCATGGGGTTGAAGTTGGGTAATAATTAGATCAATTTATCGTTTATAAAAGTGCAGAATATTCATGAGGTGCATGTGACTTGTTCTCTGTGAACCAGTCACAACAAAGAGAAGGAAGCTCTCGGGAAATGAGTGGTATGCATTAGCTTGCTGATATTGAGACCGTGGTGTTCTGGAGAAAAGCCTGTCCACACCGTCCCACAGCCCTGAGACCCCAGAGGCCCCAGACGAGGCCACGGCATGTGCGCCCAAGCTTTACCTGCCCCCACAACGCCAGGGCTGCAGTGTTTTCAGAGAAAAGCTGCCCTGAGTTCACCTGCACCGGCACTTGGCCGATTCTGGATTTTTCTTCTGTGTCCAGCACATGCTTGAGCCTCAGCGTTTTCTCCGGGGACCTTGTCTTCTCATTTGGGGCACATATTCTTCAGAGAATCTAATGAAAGCACCAGACCCTCTCCAAAATAAGGAGCAGATGCACATGTCCACCCCACCCCGGACACACAAATATCGTGCACAACTGTATTTTTTTTTTAAGCTTTTATTTATTTATTTGACAGAGAGAGATACAGCGAGAGAGGGGACACAAGCAGGGGGAGTGGGGGAGGGAGAAGCAGGCTTCCCGCTGAGCAGGGAGCCCAATGCGGGGCTCGATCCCAGGACCCTGAGATCATAACCTGAGCCGAAGGCAGACGCCAACCACACAGCCACCCAGGAGCCCCTCGTGCACAACTTTAAAGAGGTTGCATGTTCCCCCAAACCCATTCACCAGTGTGTTAATATTCTCCTTCTGCACAACAAATGGACACAAACCAGTGGCTTAAAACAGCACCCATGTATTCCCTCCCAGTGTCTGCAGGTCAGGGCACAGGCATGGCTACCTGGCTTGTGTGCTCAGGGTCTCACCGGGCTGTTGGTGGAGCTCTGTTCCTATGGTTTAGGACTGAGGTCCTGGTGTTCTTGCTGGCTGTTGGCCAGGACACCTCTCAGCTCCTTGAGGACCCCCATGTCCCAGCCACGGACCCCTCTGAGCCCCTCCTAACCTGGCAGGGACCCCTTCAAGGCCAGCAGAAGAATCTAGGAAGAGCTGAGCCTTCTCAAGGGCTTCCCCTGATGGATTGGACCCACCAGGATGCTCTCCCTTTTGAATAATTTAAAACTGATGCATGGGGAACTTCAGGATCCTGCAGTAAACACAGACAAGCCTTTATTGTGCTCACACTACTCACAGGGCACCCGGCCACTGCAGTGTCCGCCACACATGGGATGTCTGGTGCATGTGCACACACGGGTCATAGCACACGCAGGTGTCTGGAATATGTGCACGCACGAGTCAGCACATGCAGGGGTCCCGTGTTTACAAGCATGCGTCAGCACAAGTAGGTATCTGAGATTGTTGTAAGTATCCTATGATTAACTCAAGGGAGTGCCCTGGTCGTGAGACCTGGTGCAGACAGGAGGTGGGGACTAACCAAGTGACCCCCACCCCCCGCAGATTATGTCTTTTTGGGGGGGAAAGCACAATAGCCTTCAGCAATTCCTTCAGCCCAGATTTAAAGTCCCCCCAAATGAGCCCCTGTTTCTCACCTCTTGATTTTATCATCCTTTTAGCTATTTAAATATCGATTTCCAGAAAATAATATTAAGATAGACTCCAAATATTAGACCCTCTCCTTTTTTCTCCCTTCAGCAGATGTTTCAAGAAACACATTCCTAGAGAACAAACGCACTGTGCAGCGGCCT